GCTGGCAGTGGTATAGTAGTACGAAGTGTCGTAGGTGCAGTAGGTGTCGCAGTAGTAGTGTAATAGTAGCAGTCCTCGTCGTAGGGGTCGTAGCAGTAGTAGTAGTAGTAGTAGTAGTAGTAGTAGTGGTAATAGTCGTGGTGGTGGTGGTGGTGGTGGTGGTAAGGACAGCAGCAGCAGCAGCAGCAGCAGCAGCAGCAGCAGCAGCAGCAGCAGTGGTAGCAGCAATAAGCAGCAGCGGAAGCAGTAGCAGCGGTCACTGCAGCAGCAACTGCCAAGTAGCAACAGTATCATGATGAATATCGAATCATCATCACGTTCTATTTCTTTATTTTTGGAGTGCCAGTATTACTCGTCGTGGCTTTTCATGCTTGTGGTGAAATCCAGTGTATCCGATCAAACTCCTGCTTTGCATGGTAGTGGTGATAGAAATCCAGTGAATCCAATTAAGTTCCTGCGGTCGAACGGTCTCGCATGTAGCCACCCAGCAAGAAAGCATGGGACCCTTAACTCAAATCTAGTTAGAGGCTTGCTCCATCGCTTCGCCAGATAGCCCCGAACCCTTAGCACCCCGCACCTGACACAACCTCCACTTGGAAGCATCAAAAGAGTAGTACCAGCACCGCAGGCTTAAATGTCCAAACTGCGGGGGGTTTCGCTTGAACACGGCCGGGCATGCAAAAACGATGCGCGGACAAGATGACATCGAGAAAAGAGACTGATGACATCGACAGATGACACCGTAAGTCACAACCTACCGTCCGAGCTTCCGTTCCGTGCGGTCCTGTCCCGTGCCATCCCGCCGATCCCGTTTTTGTTTTGTCCGGTCCCGTCTGAATTGTGCTTTATCATCCAAGAACCGCAGCTTTCGTTTCGATGCAATCGAGCCCTTTTGAAGGTTCGCTGGCAATATCCCGACATCTATACCCGAGAGACTGTCGTGACCTTGCGACATCCGGTGAACCCTAGTCACCGTAGTCAACATTTCAGAGAGCAAGTTGACATGAAGAACGGGATAAGATTCCAAAAGGATCATCGGCCAAACCCCGAACCTCTTTTACCCCCAAGCCCCAAGCCTTAAACCCAAGCCGTGGAAGTTCGCAAGCCTGAGCCCTGCACGATCCTAAGCCGTCCTATACCCAGAACCCCATTCCAGGAGGCGCTCTGTACCGAGCCGATGTTGACTGCTGGGCGACCGTCGCTGCCTTCGGTGCGATTCAATGGCTTATCTCAAGGCTTATGAGTTTAGGGGTATCAGGCTTTTAAGGTCTGAGGCTTGGGGTTTAATGGGTGTAGGCTTGCAGGGTTGAGGGTTTGGGGCTTTGGGGTTTAGGTTCTTTAAGTGCTTGGGGCTTTAGGGTTTGGGGCTTTAGGGGTGTAGGGTGTGGTATTCTGCTTTGGTAGGTTTTGTGGGATATCGGTGTCATACAATCGCTGGTTTCTGCTTTTGCCTTGAACTGAGGAGAACAGGTCAGGAAGAGATGCCAGGACATGTCCCTTGCACGATCAGCCTCCTCCTCCTCCTCCTCCTGCTCCTCAGTATCATCATCATCAGCCGCTTGCCATGCCATTCTTCCCAAACTGTCTTGGCTTTACGACTGTCGCAGGTCTCTCGACGGCAGAGCCAGACGAGGCCTGGTGCCAGATGCGTGCCGTGCTCCTTCAGGACCCTCGATCTAAATACCGAAATTCCGTGGGCAAGGTATCGCCAACACTTTAAAAATATAGGAATGAATGAAAACATACATACATACATATATATATATATATTTCTATATGTATATATTCATTTATGTATAGGCTGTACAGGAGTTCAGAGAGGAGCCAAGGGACTTGAGGACTTTCTTAGGGCGAAGCAGGAGGCCTTCGCCCCGCCTGCCGTGGCCCGGGCCCGGCCTTTGATCCGCCGCGAAGCGCAGAGGTGCCGGTGTCCACCCAAAAGCTGCTTTAGGGGTTCAGAGGTTCTGAGGCGTTTAGGGGTTCAGAGGTTCTGAGGCGTTTAGGGGTTCAGAGGTTCTGAGGCGTTTAGGGGTTCAGGGTTTCAGGGGTTTAGGGTTTAGTACAGGGTTTAGGGGTTTAGGGTCTAGGGTTTACTTCCCTCCTCGAATGGCAGGGGTAAGTTTCGGCTCTCTTTAGCCGTTGAGAGTACTTAGTGTGCGTTTATATGCAGAGATGAAGCACCGGTAAGAACTAGCAACAGCGATAATGGTATCAAACAGCAACATAGCATCAACAACAATAGCATGTAGGCATCATCTCTGCTCGGGCATAGCCATTGCAGTAGTATCAAAGCGTAGTCATATTCAGACTCATCATGGCAGTGATTGCTATAAACATACTGAAACTAACACGAATTATGAGTACGAGTAATAATGACAATGATCGAAACAGTGAGAGCAACTAGAGAAATACAGGTGCTCGCGTGTCACTGAAACGAGAGACGGACAGACACAGAGACGCAGAGACACAGAGACACAGACACACAGAGACACACAGACACACAGACACACAGGCACACAGGCACACAGGCACACAGGCACACAGACACAAGGAAACACAGAAACACAGACACGCACACGCACGCACGCACGCGCACGCACGCACGCACACACACACACACAGACAGAGACAGACACATGCATGAAGAATACTACCAGTGCCAGCATCGTTCGGTTCTCGTCACTGTTGCCTTCATCATTGTTGATTTTTGTTCTTCGTCCCGTTATTGGTGGTTGCTGCAGCGGGGCTGTCAGGGCGGTGGTGCTCGTGCTTGTGCTGGCGTGCAGTGTGTGTGTGTGTGTCGCTGCTGTTGCCCGCTGCGTTTGCTGCCGCTGCTGCTCATGATGAAGGTTCGGGCAGGGTGCTTTCCTGTGTTGTAAGAGCGTATACTTATAGGTATCCTCCCTAAGGCCATGCCCGAAAGGGCATTCAAGTCCAAGAGGCTGGCCCGTGCTCTGGCGGCCGAAACTGGCACAGTCGTGGAGGTGGGCAGGGACAGCTCTGCAGCTCCGCTCGCAGACTCGAAAAGTGACTCCCTCAGAGGTGCGGTGCCGGCTGAGAGCTGCGCTCACGTCGCTTTTGCTGCGCTGGGCGCTGAGCTTACCTGCTTCCCGGCCGGAGGCGCCCGGGCAGCCCAAAAAAGAGCAGAAGGATTTTTCATGTGCCTTGGCCAGGCCAAGGAGCTGGAAGGCCTCATCGAAGACGCCTGGGCCGCATGCCCGAAGAGTCTGTTAGGATGGCAAGCCCGTGGCTGAATCCGTTGTGAGGCGACGCTGACCGACCCCGTCGTCACAGCCAGCGACTTCGTGGGCGTTGCAGCCCCGGGGGTCCTGGACCGTTTGCCGGAGCTTCGCCGGGAGCGCACGCGGCTTCTGCGATCTTTGATCACTGAAAGGCGACGAACAGCCGGGCGCCAGGGCGATTTCTTGGAGGCCCTACTCCGGTCTCAGAAGAAGCATGGGTTTGGGGAGGACCTGATTGTTGAGACCCTGGTGTCGCTTACCACTGCTGGCATCAGCACGGTCGCCACGGCCCTCGAGTGGCTGCTCTTGCTGCTGGCTCGGGATGAAGTTGCACAAGGCAAAGCTCGGGCAGATGTTTGCGGAAGCAGAGAGACACCATATCTGGAAGCCTGCATTCTGGAGACGCTGCGCTTGAAGACTCCGCTCTTCGTGCCGCGGAAGTGCCTGAAGCAAGTCGAGGTTTCTGGCTTCCAACTGCCCGAAGGAACCCTCCTTTTGCCGGACTCCTACAAACTGGCACTTCGGCTGAGCAAGACCTGGCCCTCCGCATGCGATGTAGTACTTCGTGAGGCCTGAATGTGGATAATTTGCCTGCAATGCTAGGAGCCTTATGTCTTGAGTGTATTCTGTTGATGACGTGGTGTTTGAGCCTTGAAGCTAGGAAGCAATCGTTACCGTAGCCCCGGTGTCTCGAGCTTCTGACGGCTCCTCAATCACGACTTTCTAGCTCAGGCACACGATCCATCAGCGTGGGAGGCTCCGAACGAATTCCGACCCGAACGTTTCCTTGGCACCGATGCACCGAAGGTGCCATGTGTTTGCATGTGGCTGTATGTGGTTATGTGCTTGTTCTTCTAAAGATATTGCGACCGATGCAAGTTATCAGTTGGAGGAGGTAGTTTCTCAAGCCTGAAGAGCATTCTCTCCATCACTTGGCCCGGAACGTTCAAGAGTTTAGGGTGGTTTCCTGCAGACGATGGTAGTTTCCATCAATGAGTGTGTGTGCCCAAAGCTTTCTTCACCTTCAGTGGTCTCGAAAGCTTACAGATGTGAGCTTGTTGGCTGCTTGTAGCAGGGAGGTCTTGGGTTTAGTACAAAACCAGGCCCAGCTACAAGGAGATGGGAGATGTGCGATGGTCTGCTTCCGTGTAAGATAAGCAAGGCGGTTACCCGCCAAACAAATCCACGAGAGCCTCGGAGCGCCCCTGAGAAGAAGCTCAAGTCGGGGGAAAACGGATCCAATTTGGGCAGGACTGTCATTGAAGCGTTCTTTTGTGATGGCTACCACTTACTCCTCTCAATGAAGAGCTAGTTCTCATCAGGGTTCAAAACAGGCTAATCTCACGTAGTACGTAACAAATTTATCTGCCACCAGTTTCGGAAAGAGGGCGGTGTTTGAAGCATCACGCCTGGCTGAGCGACGCAGGTGCGGCCGGAATTGAGGCCGAAGTGCCCCTTCGCTCAAGGCTGGGACTCCACCTCCACACCATTCAAGCACCTCAGCCTGCAATGTTTGGGGCTTTTAAGTACTAGCTTCAGAGTTTGGGCATGGATAGATAGATACATAGATGGATAGATAGATAGAGAGATAGCGAGATAGAGGGATGGATGGATGGATGGATGGATGGATGGATGGATGGATGGACTGATGGATGGATGGGTGGATAGATATGTATATGTATACATATATACATATATACATATATACATATATACATACACACATACATACATACATACATACATACATACATACATACATACATACATACATCATACATACATACACACACATGCACGTATCTATATATACACATGTTGATACACATATCGTCTTCGTGTTATGGAGAACGAGATATAGAGCTATTGCAGCTGAACATTGGAACTCTCCTATTCCACTTGCCTACAGTTGTTCTGTTTGAGCCTGTTGAGTGTGCAGCCGTGTTGAGGCGCACCTGCAAGCTTTCCACGCTGCGTCCGGTGTCTCTTCAGGCTTCCAGAATCTCGAAATCCGGCCTAAACCCTAAACCCTAAACCCGAAAGTCCCCGAAAGGCCCCCCGAAAGACTTCCGATCGATCGCTCTTTTAGGTACCTGCCCTTCGGGGTGGGAGCACGCTTCTGTCCGGGTGCGACGCTGGCACTGGAGCAGCTGCGGCTCTTTGCCGCCGAGCCCTCGCTGTCTTGGGGGTTTGGGGCGTTTTCCTGATTCTAAACCTGGTATAATAGTATAGTTAACCCCCCCCAAAACCCTATGTTAGTATAATATATGGTCCAAAACACCATTTTAGTATCATGGTCGTGGCGTGTTTGAGGTTTAAGGAGTCAGGGCTACACGATGTCAATGCTGTCTGTCAGGGGCCGTACGGTGCTGTGTTTGCTGTCAGGCACACGGCCTTGTGGGGCCCGGGCAAGATGGTGTTCAGGTCTTGGGGATTTTAGGGTATGCTCGTTACAAAGAGCTTGCACGCACTTGTCATATCGAACCGCTGTGTGCGCGGAGTGCATGCTGGAGCACCTGAATTCGCCAGAGCTTTTGGAAGATCTCCGAGCCTCAGCCGCCGTGTGAGCTTCGGTGTGACCAGGAACTCCTCATGGCTCTCCAGTGGCGCCCGGCGGGTGATATAGACCTCTCGGAGGTCCGTGTAGGGGAGGATTACGGCATCAGCTTTGAGGGTTTCAGGGGTGCTGGTATAGTTCTCCATAGCCAGAGGATCCCCCGATGGTTGCAGACTTGAAGCGGATGGGCTCTCGGGGCATGTTCACCAGACGTCTCGTGTTGCGGTGAGAGACTTGTTGAGCAGCTGGCCTGGAGCGTTGTCTGAGAGAACCACCTCCAGCATGATGCTTTCCCCGAGTGAGGCCTACTCCTTTACACTCACACCCGCTACGCCTGCGCGGCTGATCTTCGGAGCAGCGCCACGGATGGACCGCAGACGCATGAGGAAAAAAAGCTGGGAGTTCAAGCGTCGGCTTCCTGGTCGCGGCTGGGTTTTCCAACGAACAAGATGACTCAGTCAAGAAGTCTGGGAAAACTCTCAGTGCAGCCTCCTGCTCTACCCAGACTGCCTGTGCGCAAGAGACTGTCTTCCTCACTGATTCAACTGCCTTCACCCTGAATCGGTGTCACACCCTTCCGACAAGCCTTCAACCCCGGAGCATGGCCACTTCTGCAGAGGCCTCTCTGGGCTTCTGGCGATTCTCAGCCACCGAGACGATCCACCGAGCGCGCGGCTCCTGGACGCCCGGTGCAAGTCAGGGACGTCAGCTCTGGGGTCCTCAGGTAACAAAAATGGAAAAGGGTGGCTCTAACTAATGTATTTC